AACCAAGGCTTCAGCAATAAGGTGTGTGTATACAAGTTTCTATTACTCATTTCTCTGTTACTATTAGTTACACTAACTTTCTCTTGGTTGTTTCTTAGATTGAGCGTCTCCAGGGTTTATTGGAGCAGGAGAGGACTGACTAATCAGGACATGGAGTCTCTGGGGGAGGAACTACTGAAGGAAAAACTGAATCTGGAGAGAGATGTGCACACTCTGAGGGCGGAGAAAGACAGCAGGTATTTCATAACTCTAAAGCATATGTTGGACACAGGTCCAATGAATGATGCATCGGTGTAACATTCATGTACACTCTTAAACTTGCTTAAAACTTAAATATAGGAAAAAAACACTGACTGACTAAGATACAAATACACAGCTTATTATTTAGTTAAAGGTGGTTACACTACTTGTATTACTCCATATGAGCTAACAGGTGACACAGTGTTTCACATGACAACACGTCATTTCACCGGATAAAGTTATGATAACAATCATAATCATTTTCATATCTTTTGTAACACTTAGATGTTAATTATACATCTATGTCGCTACGTTTATACAACATTTTTTACAAATGTTGCTCACCTAAAAACTCAAGCTGCACATCACTGCATCATAGCTCCATACCTGAGTGTGTGTGGGTCAGGAACAACAATGATAATGCTTTTTTTAATATCATTTTTAATGATTTATTACAGGCAAGAGACATAAATAATGGAAATGAATAAGTCAAATTAAAACAAAAATAATAAGCAATTAAAATAACATGAACATTGGCTTTGTCAACGTTAATGTTTATTATAAGAGACCAAAAAGCATAATCTGTCCCAGAGTTTCCGTTAGCCGGTAATCACCGGACTTTCCCCTTAGCGCAATACAGCATCAGTTGCGCCACTTACGTGACAGACAAGAAGAGCTCATTCTAATGTCTAACACTTAATGTGGAGAAAGAGATTTATCCTCCTGAAGGGGACATTTTGACCCCTCATGTAAACAAATGCATAATGCTGCGCTATACTTTGCAACGGTTATTGTTTGGTGTCCTTTGATAAGCAGGCAGTCATATCATTAGCTAGAACTAGCTAGATCTGATCGATATGGACATAAACACGAGTCTAATCGGACACGAGTCAGAGATCAGATCAGCTGCTGCTGACGGAGAACACGCAGCTCTATGATCACCTGCAGCTCTGTCCGCTGTGACGGACCGGTGAGCGGAGCAAAACACACACTTCAAGTTACAACTAACACACTTAGCTAGTTTATCTACCTCTGGAACAAGCTAACCTAGTTATAAATATGTTTATTCTTCACTGTCGGGTCACTCATTACTGGATGCTGCGTGAGACGATACTGACGGGCTGTCGAGAGAGAGAGAGGGAGAGAGAGGATCTGTTTAGTATTCCCTTGTTATTATCCCGTTACTGTACACTTCTGAATAATGTAGTCAATCTACTAGAATTAGTTTGTTTAATATAGAGTTGTTATCAATTTTTTAAAACTCAATAAATAACAAAGACGACCTTTGACCGGCACTTTTCATTTTGTCCGGAAGATTTAAACTTTTTAACGGACTGGCAAAAATCAATTCTAACGGAAACTCTGATCTGTCCACATCTATTCTCCTCTTCCTGTCCAATCAGATCTCAGAGTTGGAGAGTGAGAAGCAGCACCTCTCTGATGCCGTGGCGTCCCTTCAGGAGCGCGCTCAGTCCAACAGCGAGGCCAGGGTCCGCGAGGTGGAAACCGAGAACCGCCTCCTGCACCAGAACATCACTGACACCAGCTCCCGATTGGCCAGCTTAGAGACCCAACTCAAACTAGCCAATGAGGAGGCAGAGAGGCTGGGGAGCAGGGCGGGGCGATGTGAGGAGCTGGAGCGAGAGACGGCCAGGCTGGAGAGGGGCAGGGACACTTTGAGCAGAGAGGTAATCTGTCTATGTGTCTTTATTAGGATACCATTAGCATTAGCATTGGCTACTCTTCCTCCACAAAAACACAAAACATAAGCAAACAAAAACAACTCATCTAATGTAGTTAACAGTCAAGAATGGTTGTGAACAAGTTCAAATAAATAGTAATTCATGACAAACATAACAACATTTCACCAAAAGCATATTTTTCCAAACCTTGAGGGTGTTAGAACCAGCAGGAGTGTCAGTGTGTGAATGATTTTGGTAGCACTTTACTGTATGACAGGGGATTTCTGAATATTTCCCATATAGAAAATTCACAACAACATTGAGCAAATGCATTTAGTTTCAAACGTTATTGATGTAAATGAACCAGTAGTAGTGCAATTAAGGGATTTTATAGCAACACGTTGTATGACAGGGGAGTTATGATACCTTCAATTGTTTACTTATCTATCCTGTGCTTACAGTCATGTTCAATTCCCACACATTTTTTTGAAGAGTATTTCAATAAAAACATAAACATTTGTTTTACAATAGGTAAATACTCAAAATAGATAATAGTAATAATGGTAATATTATATTTTTACATATATATTTTTTTCTATTTTCAAGGTTTTAAAGTTATTATATATAGGCATTAAGTAATAGTAATAGAGTCCTAAGCCTGTGAATGAGTTTTTAGTTTTGTTGTCATGCATAACTTATTCTTAAAAGCATACTGACTTGATTAAATTCTAACTCAGACTATATCTTCTCTGTCTTGCTTGTAGCTGGCCTCTCTGCGTGTTTGCAGCGAGCAGTCGGAGGCTCTGGAGAAGCAGGTGTCCTCCCTGGAGCAGGAGGTGCACCGGCTGAAGCGGGAGCTGCAGGAGGCCCAGAGGGGAGCAGCAGCGGCTGGGGGAGGCAGGAGGCGGAGCACAGCCTGCTGTCCAAGGAGAACCTGGACCTGCGCTTGCTCCATGGAGAACCTGCGCTCCTCATCCACCCGTCTGGCCTCCCTGCAGGACGAGCACAAGGAGGTGCAGGGACAGACTCAGGATCTGCAGAGGAAGCTGGAGGAGGCCAGAGGGGAGGCGCAGGGAGAGAAGAAGAGGGCAGAGAGGCTGGAGCAGAACATGGCCGCTCTGAACCAGGAGAAGCATCGCTTAGAGGAGGAAATACAGAGAAGCAAAGAGGACAGGGAAGAGGAAGAGAGGGAGAGGCAGGAGACGCATGTCAGAGAGGAGGAACTGAGAAGGGAAGTACAAGAACTGAAGAATGAGCGGAAACGGAGGGAGGAAGTGGAAGAGGAGAGGAGGAAGCTCCAAGTGGCCTTGGAGCAGGCAGAGAAGGGCAGGAAGAACCTGGAGAAGGAGAGCTGGAGGAGCAGGACACTGCTGGAGGGGAAAGAGACGGAGCTGGAGGAGAAAGACAGGAGGTTAGCCACAGTGGAGAAGGAGGGAGCAACTCTGAAGAAGGACATGGAGAGGCTGAGGGAGGTGTCGGTCAAAGCCAAGGAGCTGGAGAAGGAGAACAAAGAGCTGCAGAAACAGGCGACTATCCACAAGAGGACTCTGGCCACGCTGAGAGAGGTGAGAGGTCACACAACACCTTAGTGCATGTCTAAATAAGAGGTGAACAGAAGTAAAGAGACTTTCAAGACACTCTTTTCCTCACAGCTGTTGTTATTACCAGTGTGTAAGCGACTGTTCTGGAGAAAGCAGGACTTTGGATAGAAATCCCTTAAAGTCATCAGAAAAAAGGACATTTGAACTCTTTCAACTGGGCAGATTCCCTCTGCTGAGGAAGCTCTTGATATGTGGGTGTGCTTGTTTAGCCAATGGGAAGCCTCTAAAGAGGAAGACTGCCAATGTTCTTAGAAACATAGTGTTCTATTTCTGCATGATTTTAAAGACAATATTTGTATCATTTTTTTGTTGGGACTCTGGCTTATCACCAAGGGTGATCATTTAACAGATGAATACGATGAGACATGATACCCTGTAGCCTCGTGTTAATGAAAGCTGACTTCCACAGTCCCTGTGCTTGGTGCTCTCTGAGAGTGAGCGGCTCTGAATAACCCAACACTACATTCTAAATGTACGAACGGCTAAGTTTGTGCCCAAGTCGAGTGACTATTTTCGAATGCACCCCATAAAACCCCAGAATAGGTAAAGAAATTGACTTTGCGGTGATGCCTATTTTATCAGCCACTGATTCCAAGGGTATAATACTGATGATAAATATGAGTCCTAATGTACTCTGTGTGAAAGTGTTTGATGTTCATGAGGTGTTGTTATGTCTCCAGGATTTGGTGTCAGAGAAGCTGAGTGTCCAGCAGCAGAGTGTTGACCTGGAGAGACTCAATGAAGAACTGGAGAAGATGGGACTGAACAAAGAGAAACTGCTGCAGCAAGAGCACACACTGGAGGACAGGTAGGGTCTCATATGCTGGTCCCATTCTAGGACTACTCATCACAAGTCAATGACTTACATTTCTTCTGTGCACATGTCAGCAGGTACAGGCTACTGGAGTCTCGGCTTGAGGAAACCGTCCAGCAGACAATGAAGATTAAAGAGGAGAAGATCTTTTCTCTAGAAAGGAAACTGGAAGAGAGCAAAAAGCTCAACACTAAGCTACGAGCTGACCTATCCACTGTAAGACAGACACATTGTAACCAAAGGTTTTCACACATTATGAGCTGTTGTAATGTACACTGTTTTACAATATGTGGTTTTTTTTCAGGGGGAAGAAAACCACAACTCCCATCATCATTCGGAAAGTGACCGGGGTCAAGGGTCAGCCACGGCAGAACTGCTAAAAATCAAAGATCATATTATCGATATAGAAAAGAATGTAAGATGTTCTTTATTAAATACTGTTATTTCATATAAACGTTGTGCAACATTAACCAGGCATATGTGTGACATTAGCTATTGATCACCATACTTTGAATATTTATGGTGTACCCCCCCCCCCCCCCCCCCCCCCCCCCCCCCCCTTCTAATCAAGGTTGAAATATCAGCTTCAGCTAAATCTTTACTAAATCTGACACATCGAATGTTTCATTATCTCCATGATCGAAATACTGATAACCTTGTCTAAAAATGATATGTTTTTAAAATAAGTAGTTATAGTATATTGGGTGACCAATGAAAAGGCCTTACGTCTTCCCAGTTAATGCTCCGCCACAGTTTGATATAATGTGTGATCACATTCTTATAAATAATAGTGAGTAGTTCTATTTAGTTTGTTGGCTCTAAATCTCAGTATTGATTAGTTAGATTTGCTTCGATGGCTAAGCTAACATTACCCTTCTAATACGAGTAATGACGTTTTTATTTTAAATAGGCTAGGTATCACATATATTTATTTTTACACCTAATTTAGTTTTTTGTGTTATTCATATTTTATGTAGCTTATTTAATGTTATTTTAAATGTCTATTTTCCTCTAATTGATTGCTTTATAATTCACCCTTTTTACGCAAATAATTGTATTTGTTTAATGACAGAATATGGTGAACTACTCACCATCAATTATCTATCATCTGGATGTGAGAATGTCCATTGTTCCCTCCAGAACTCCTCCCTGCTGACGGAGAGCAGCCTGCTGAAGGGGCAGCTCAAACAGCTGGAGAACCAGAACACGTCTCTGAACAACCAGATGATGGGGCTGCAGCGACACACCTCCACCCTGCAGGAGCAGAACTCGTCACTACACAAAGAGACAGCAAAACTACAGGTACACACAATGAAATCCTCTCACCTCATCATTTCTATTACATTTCTCAAGGACATATATAGAAAGGATCATGTGCAGTGAGGCGTTCATTATCGCCCGACGCGAAGCTGAACTGTGACAACAGCAGTGTAACTTCAAATGATGTCAGCACTGATGGAGGTTTTCTGTGACTGTCCAAGTCTGTTCATGTCCATGAACCAGTCTTTAAACACTGCCAGAGCCCATACCGTGTTCCTGTTAGTATTTACTTCCTGTCTGTCTTCTTCTGGTGATTTATCTGTCGTCCACTGCTGGTCCTTTTAACCTCTTTCCATCTCTCCCTTGATCTTCCTTAGCAACGGTCATTATTTTTGCTTAGCAGCGGTGTGTTCAAAAGTATTAATAACCTCTGAAATATCCAAATGAACCAATCAGAATGTAATATTCAATTCAACAACTACTGAGTTCTAATGAATGCCACTTGCTCTTAGGTGGAAAACTCCACAATCTCTTCCCAGAGTGCATCCCTCATGGCCCAGAATGCCGTGCTGCAGGGTCAGGTCACGGCCTTGGAGTCGGAGGTGGAGTCGTGGCAGAGGCAGCGGGAGGAGGCGTGGCGAGGCAGAGAGAGCGTGCTCAGCGATCACGAGCGCCTGCTGAACGTTCACGAGAGGCAGGCTCAGGAGTACGAGCAGCTGATCAGTCAGCACGCCGCTCTGAAGGGCAAACAGAGGGCGCTAGAGAGCGAGCAGCGCACACTGCACAGCAAGTGAGTGAAGGACCAAAGAGTATCTATAACAAAAGATGACGCACTACAGGCTATAGTATATGGTACACACTTAGTTAAGTGGAAAGGTATATTAAGCAAACATTAGATATCTTCTATGTTCTAACTGACATTTGAGGCATTACAAAAAAATCTGTTAGCAAGGACATTTGGTGATGACTTAGAATTTTGAATTGAAATTTGGATATTACTTTGGTGACTGTGAGGCAAAATGATTGTCATAATCTATGTTCACTGTTGGAGGAGCCTGTGACCTAAGATTTTCATCGACATAACTACACTGTAGCAGGGTTTTTTCTTGCCCGTCAAATGTCCGGAAATAATTAATTTTACTGGACAAATTCGAAACTGTTACCTACTGTAACCCCAGCTTCTATGAGTAAATGGCGCAGCCCTCTAAGGCTATCGCTATTGGGTAATCCCCCTGCGCCCCCCGCGCAGCACTGAAAACTTGTAGTCCACGCCCACCCGCAAGGTGGGCCCCACCCTCGGGCTTCCTTCCGGTATAAATAGGAAGGAGGCCCGGCAATCTGCTCCCATACAAAATAACTTTTCTTCAGCTATTCGTAGAGCCAATGGGGCCCCGCGCTTAGAGGGCTACGCCAATACTCATAGAAGCTGGGGTTACAGTAGGTAACCTCAGTTCTATTTCGAATATCGCTATTGGGTTAAGGGCGAAGCATGATGTAGTCTGCACCCTCACTGGGTCCGCCCGGCACTAGAAGCACAGACACACCTGCTCAATAACACCCCCCTGCCTGTTGTGCCATGCATAATGGCGCATCACCGTCCCTGGAACATAGCAAAACATGCCTATCTTCCCGACGGGGTGAAGGCTGGGAACAATACATACCGGCCGCTGTGAGAAAGTAGAGACGAAGGTCCCACCTTGTCCAGCGATCATAGAGGGGGAACAGCAGCTCTCTGCGTGTCAGACAGGTAGGAGAGCGCCCAGCTGGATCCCTGACGTCACTCACTCTGACCAGACACTCCGTACAAAGTGTGTCAGAGGAAAAAGGAACATCCCTCCTATAAGAGGGAAAAAGGGCCGCTCTCCGCGTGCCGAGAGGCAGGAGAGAGGCGCACAGCTGGCTCCCTGACGTCACTCACTCCGACAGGACACCCAGTACAGGGTGTGTCAGAGAGGAATGGGAGACATCTCTCAAATAAAAATGAGTAAATGAACAGGGGGAAGACCAAGATATATATCTTATAAATATGTTCCACTGACATTCCTCAGTGCAAAGCCGTGGAGGAGGACATTTCTCTGGTGGAGTGCGTATTGATGTTCTCCGGGGGCTCCACCCCAGAGGAGACATATGCCTGTGACACAGCCTCACACAGCCAGTGTGACAGCTGTCCTGCAAGACAGCACGCGCACAGGACAGAGGAGATGAGACGTGGCTTCTTCCTCCGACCTGTAAGGAGGGGGAATAAGCCAGCCAGGGTGATCACTCTTGACCTAAAAGAGTTGTGATGACCTTTGGCATGAAGCCGGGTTAGGGCGTAAAACAGCTGAACTGCCATCTCCTTGGATCCGGAGGCATTACGGAGCCACAGAGAGAGCAGACAAATCACTCACCCTTTTCTCTGATAGAGCCAAAAGCAGTAATACTTTGGCTGAAAACAGTTGAAGGGGAACCTGATCAGGTTCAAATGGGGCTTTGCTTTAGTGCGCGCAACACCAAAGCCAATTCCCACTGAGGCGCCAGTGTGCGTGACACAGGTCTGAGTCTACATACTCCTCGCATACAACGGCTGCTGCACTCTGCGAGCCCCTCTGTTAATTTCGCCTAGAATATACATTGCTCTGATGGAGAGCAACGTGTGTGCGCGCCCAGAACAGCAGCCGCCTGGCTGCGTTCAGAAGCTGCGCAGATCGTACTCCTCCCTGGCCGTGGCCTGTTGTCTGTGCAAATCAACACATGTTTGATTGTACAGCAACGGGGCGACTCCCCCGTTCTTTTCCGAGATTTAGAAAAATAGCGGGGGTAAAAACCGCGCAAGACACTGTTCCTGGGATGACAGGAGTGTTTCTTGTATCCCATGGAACGGCTGGGGGGAGAGGCTTCTCTGTGATGTGCCGTAATGGTCATTATGGTGACGAGCCACGCCATCGCCGCTGCTGCCCGTGAGGCAAAAGGGCTGCGAGGGAGTTTCCACACGCTGCATTTCACTCCGTCTCTCATCATGAGGCGCGTACACGCCCAGAGGATGAGAGGTGTGTGCATGCTGTCCACACGAGGCGTTATAACGGTGCTCGGGGATTTATTATGACCGTGTGTAGGAGGCATATCTGGGACAGAGGAATGCCGCGAGCTCTGCAGTTTATAAACCAATAGGTTAAAAACAGCAGGCTTCTGCAGCGAATGAACCACCTCTGGAGTGTCCCCCTGTTGGAAGAGACCCAAGGGGATCATCACGTGACCAGCTGCGTCACGGAGAGGGCTGTGTGGGTTGTGAAATGCCAGAGGAGAGCTATCAGTTCCTCCACTCGCTGCCGCGAGAGCCTCAGAACAACTCATGCTGGTTGAGTTTAATTCCACTCCAGATAAACGTTTGTCTGAGAGGGAAGAGGACAGCTCTTCTTCCAATTTATTATGAAACCCAGGCTTTGACAGATGCGATATGAGATGTAACGTCTGTAAAGCGACTTCCTCCCTGGAGCGAGCCAGCAAATAGCAGGTCGTACAGAGAAAACCACACTCTCAACCCTCCTCTGTGTAGCGGCTCCAGCCTTATCTACACAAAAATGGGAGGAGCCAGGAAATATCCAAACGGCAGACGATTGTCTGGTCTGATATTCCCTGAAATGAGAAACCGCAGGAATTCCCTGTGTTTCGGGATGATGGGTACGTGGAAGTATGCATCCTTCAGGTGGAAGTGAACCAGTCATCCTGGTGAACACATTCCAGCACCTGTTTGATCGTCAGCATGTGGAATACTGACAGATCGAGGATGTCTCATTGCCCCAGTCTTTTTCGGGATTAGAAAAATAACGGGAGTGAAAACCCCTGATTTTCCTCCCTTTGAGGAACCCTGGAAATATCCTCTTTCAACAGGAGTTCCAGCAGCTCGGATTGGAGGGCAAGACATAGCTTCTGGGAGGACAGGAGTGTTTCCTGTATCCCATTGAACTGTGGGGGGGGGGGGGGGAGAGGCGAACTGCAGGACGTATCCTCTGCTGATCAGCCTGCTCATCCATCTGTCCATCAGACCCACGCGCTGCCACTCTGAGAAAAACTCTGAGAGCGGGCGCACGTGCTCGAGATGTGTTTTTTTGCCGCCGCTGCCCGTGAGGCAACCCAAGGTGAGCTTGGACCGAAAGGGCTGCGCGGGGGCCTCCACACGCTGCGTCTCACTCCGACTCTCATCATGAGGCGCGTACACGCTCAGGGGATGGATGGAGGTGTGTGCAGTGCTGCCCACATGAGGCGTTATAACGGCGCTCATGGGTTTATTAAGGCCGTGTGTACGAGGCGTATCTCGGACAGAGGAATGCCGCGAGCTCTGTAGTTTATTAACCAACAGGTTAAAACCAGGCTTCTGCAGCGAGCCCTGCTGTCTACTAATCAACAGATTAGTGGCAGCCGGCTTAATTAGCGAGCTCTGCATTTAATTAACCGATAGGTGAAAACCAGCAGGCTTCTGCAGCAAGCCCTGGCGCCGTGGCGCTGCGGGCGCTGCTGCTGGGGGCACTCAGCCTGGAATACTGCTCATTCCCCCGTTCTAGCTTCTCTGTGATGTGCTGTAATGGTCGCCATGGTGACGAGCTACGCCATTGCCCTCGCCGCCGCTGCCCGTGAGGCGAAAGGGCTGCGAGGAAGCCGCCACACGCTGCGTTTCACTCCGGCTGTCATCATGAGGCGTGTACACGCTCAGGGGATGAGTGGAGGTGTGTGCAGTGCTGTCCACATGAGGCGTTATAACGGCGCTCATGGGTTATTATGACCGTGTGTAGGAGGCGTATCTCGGACAGAGGAATGCAGCGAGCTCTGCAGGTTATTAACCGATAGGTTAAAACCAGCAGGCTTCTGCAGGGAGCCCTGCTGTCTACTTAATCAACAGATTAGTGGCAGCTGGCTTAATTACCGGCTCTGCTTCCTCGGAGGCTCTCGCCGAGCAGACCAGGAGCGGGGGAGCCTCACTCCCCTTTGACTCGCCGCCGGGAGACCCTGTCTCTGGGGTGGTGGGGGAGCGGAGATGTGGGACGGAGCCCCTGCAGCCGCCGAAGGGCGAGTCTGATGCCGAGGCGGTTGCTGTGGGCGTCTCTCCGCTTGCGGCCTCCTGTGGCCGGCGTGGACGCCGCAGCTGCTGCGGGCGTTGGTGCTGCTGTGGGTGCTCAGCAGGCTGGAGCCAGCTGTACATGCTGGCGAATGCCGTCCGCCTGTTCTGCGGCCGTCTTCATGGACTCCACCATGGCGTGGAACTGGGGTCCGAACAGCCCGTCCGGGCTGATTGGAGCGTTCAGTAGCACTTTTCTGGCCGTCTCCGTAACAGACGCCTGCTTCCGCCAGAGGTGGCGCTGGATCTGTGTTACCCACGCGGAGATCCTCGCCTAGGAGACAGTGACGGACGCGCACAGAATGAGCGCCGTGCTGGCCGCCTTGCTGATTTCCTCTGCCTCGGTGGTGGACCGCTCTACCAGTGTCACCACCGAGTTGGAGAGCAGCGCGATGTTATTCGCCGCCGCGCTGTGGTGACGGAGAGGGGGAAAGCATGTTCGGCCGGAGGAGAGGAGGGAGGGGAGAACCGCACGGTGAACCGTGGAGGGAGGCGGGGCAGGAGTTGCTTTTCTTCGGACTCCTGCCCGGCACTCGGCCCCAGGGACACGAGGCCCCGTCCGCGGCTCGTAAGCCTGGACGGGCCAATCGTCCTCCTCGGCCGCAGCAGCAAGAGCGTCCGCTCTCCGCTTCCTCTCGCCCGAGGGGAGACGGGCGCAGTGTGTGCATGCTACCTGCTGGTTTAGAGCCGCGTAAGCGTGCTCTGACCCCAGGCAGGTTTCGCATGCTGCTTTTATCTCTGCTGGTCATAACTCATTATGAACCCAGAGCCACATGAGGGACAATCGCGGACGCAGTTGTTGCTCATGATGATTCTCAATTGCTGTGCTTCAGTAACTGTGCTGGTTTGCTGAAGAAAAGAGGGAGCCGATTGCCGGGCCTCCTTCCTATTTATACCAGAAGGAGGCCCGAGGGTGGGGCCCACCTTGCGGGTGGGCGTGGACTACGTTTTCAGTGCTGCGCGGGGACGCGATAGCGATAGCCTTAGAGGGCGAAGCCATATACGAAATAGAACGGATCCTCTCTTTTCCCCTCTCCCTCCCTCTCTCTCTGACAGCCCGTCAGTTTCTCATGCAGCGCGCTAAACAGTGGGCGGGGCTTCAGGTGATTATGCAGAGCTGCGTGTCTCCGTCAGACTCAGCAGCTGATCTGATCTCTCTCTCGCGTCCGGTTATACTTCACTCGCGTTTATGTCCATATCGATCAGATCAAGCTCTCCTGATCGTCCTTTATAGAGAGCACCGATCTAACTATTAAGAGTGAATATCGGCCGGTAATGATCGGTGGCCAATCGATCGGAGCATCCCTAATTATTACCGGACAGTTTTTTGACTGGCAGGTTTTGAATTTACCGTTTTTTTACAAATGTTACCAGCTAAAAAAACGGTAATTACCGGCTAACGGAAACCCTGCACTGTAGCTATGCACGCATGACAATAAAAGCCTTGAACCTTGTGATATAGTGGTGCATAAAGTCATTTCATATCTTCGGTGGAAGCTTATACCAATGAGGTCACAGTGACATGGCTTTTAGAGCATATTCAGTTTCTGAAATGTGTCATACATAAGTCAAAACCTTGAAATGAGATTGTATTGTAAAACATGTTGTTGTTGATATTGCAAGATAAATGTAGCTTTAGAAAGATATGAAGCTGTATGATTTTACATTCACCACATCATTGATGGATCAGGACAGGAATGATGAACAAAGTCAATGTCATCAAAGTGTTTGCCAGCTGAAATCTAACAACACACCTCCTGCTATGATGTAACCGTTGAGTGAGGTTTATTCTATTGGGTGGGGGACCTAGTCAAATCACATACCATTGCATACATTTATTCAAGTTTGTTGAAGATGAGTCATCAACCATATTTTTACATGTGAAGTAAAGAGAGATTTGGAGGACTAGAAGTACAAATATACAACACTGGGATAAGAGCTTGGAAACTATATTTGTTCTTTTCATCTTGTGTTTTTGATGCAGATGCTTTGCCACTTGTTAAGAATGAAAGGATGTTTATCAAATTGTAAGGTTGTATTACGTAATATGTACCAATGTTTATTAGTACTTCTAAACAACATCAAAATAATCAGGTGTTTAGTGGATATACATCTTTATTTAGACCTGTCTTGTAGATATACTGTAGTTCTAAATTCTAAAGTGTAAAAGTAAAAGAAAGAGTAAAGAAAAAGTCATGTCTTCACTTCCCGGTCACTGATATTACATTCAAATGTAATATAAATCAGCGTAAAGAATAAACCAAGTCAAATGACAACATAGATAATCCATATGACAAAACTGATCATGTGGATATACTGTGGATGAAAAAGAGGTATCCTGGACAACAGGCTCCTCAGACAACAAACATCCTCACACTGCCTTCCTGCCAAACTACACATTCTCATCTGATACTCTTATCCCATGAAACATAATAGTGGCGCATCCCTGCTTAACAACCTTAATAACCTATCAGCTCCACAGGTGAACAAAAGAAAGGGCCACACATGGCACATGCTAGATGGTACCAAGTGCTAATGCAAACACCAGGCTGATCCTGTTGGGATCATAGACAGTATGATGAATAATAACCTTCCGCAGGTATTGTATTTTGGTGCAGCAGAAGGAGAAATGGGACGAGCAGGAGGGGCACGGCCGAAAAGAGAAGGAGGAACTCAACCAGGAGCTCCAGAAGACTCGGCTACTGCAGCAGGAGAATCTACAGCTCAAATCAGAAGTGGACAGGTACTGGAAGATTACACACAGTCACACCATCAGACATTGACAACAACAAGTGTAATGTTGTGGATCATTTTGCTGTGATAATGGTCCACAATGAGACAAACATGTTTGAGACTGCACCAAAAGCATCCTTCATCTACATTTCACTTTCACACAATAACTCTATGATGACGCTATTCACTGGAACAGATGGCAACAACATCTGTTCATTTATGTTCGGTTCAAAACGAGCTGTAAAACAGATTCAAAACGCATATATGGTAAAACAATCCCATTTATAAATCAGCTTGAAGTTTATCCTAAGTGATCAGGTTTTTGAAACGGGTTCAGGGACAGTTGAGCCATAGGCTGGTTACAGTGAGAGGTAGAACCAGGCAGCACACTTTGAGGTTATCTCTTGATTTCTCTCATAGTGAATTCTCTCTGCCTTCCCCTTTTAGACTAGCAGAGAGCCAATCCCAGCAGTCCGGGCAGTGTGAGGGGCTGCAGCACCGAGTGAACGATATGAAGGGCTTACTAAGCTCCTCCCAGCAGGAAGTGAGTCGATGGATGGCACAACACGACTCCCTGATGGAGCAACACCAGGGCCTGGATCTCACCATGACCAAGCTGGACAACCACTGTGAGGTAAACTCCGCCTTCTCTTCTGCCATCAAGCCGTCTGGAACATGAAGTGATCAATATGTTTTGTAGCACAGCAGTGTTGTGACTGAAACTATGAATCTTTTCCTTTAGAGAAAAAGGCTGGATTAGAGATGCTCTGGTTGCTTTGATTAGATACATTTTAATGTTTCAAACATTCCAAGTTTTGATCATATTTCCGTAAATGGCCACCTCATACTGCGTCTCTCCAGATCAGCATCTCATGTTACTGTCCTGACATGACTGTATGTGTCTCTGTGCATGTCTGTGTTTAGCTGTTGAGTCGACTGAAAGGGAACCTGGAAGAGGAGAACCACCATCTGCTTAGTCAGATCAACCTGCTGAGTCAGCAGAACCACACTCTCCTGGAGCGGAGCATGGAGAGCAAAGAGCTGTATCACCAGGAACAGAAACTATACATGTAACTGCACACAGCACACCTTTACACCCCGCACTTATGTAGTACACTACCAGTGACACAAGTATTCACATGTGGTGCTTAGGTGACTTTTCAAATGTAAAACTTTCAACCATTTCTTTCTTTTTCCCTTGCCAAACTGAAGTATTATTTAGCACTTAACACGCTCACATTCAATTGTTTGTGTCATTAGATTTCTTGGCTGATTACATTTGTAACACTGTAAATAACCCCAAAAAACCTTACCCTGCACCACAATGACTCTGTGGCATCCAGCGCCCCCTCCTGCTCCAGAGTGTGAATCTTTGTCTCTCCCATGCTCAGTAATCTGCCATCCAATGAAATGTACTTCCTGTTTTGAGTAACATAATCTGATAAGAAGACAAAATCACAATGTATGAATGTTTCTTTTCTTCATGTAGAGATAAGCTGAACGCTCTACGTCGTCAGAAAGAAAAACTGGAGGAGAAGATCATGGACCAGTACAAGTTCTACGACCCCACACCTAAAAAGTAATGCTTTTATCAGCCCTATCATTTTGAAAGATAACATAGAAAAGCCAGTGGTGTACAGTATTTACCTACATTTACTCAAGGACTGTACACTTTGAAATGACCTATATCACTCTTGCTACATCTCAGGTGCAAATATTGTACTTTTTACTCCACCACATTTCTTTGGCTGCTTAAGTTACTTTGAGGATTCAGATTAATCAAATATATAATCAACACAATAAAAGAAGTATGTATTATTATAGGTTAGGATCAACTTTATTGTTCATCTTAATGAAATTAACAAATGACACAGTAGTTTATATAGTAAATATATGTAAGCTCCTGCGTTACCAGGTGCAACTTTAATGCATTAATGTTTAAAATACAATAATAAAATATATATTAGGCTGAAATAGGCCATTGAGTGCTATACCCTTGTACTTAAAGTATCTTTTTATTCTTTTTTTTCTTTAAATGTAAGTAACATTTTGAAGGCTGGACTTATACTGACCAGGGGCCTCGTTTATAAAGCCTTGCGTAGGATTCACGTGGGAAGGTTGCTTACGTAGGACAAAGCAAAAACATACGCACAGACATTTACCGATTTATAAAACACTGCGTACCGGCGTAGGAAGTGCGTACAGCACGTCCTACACCGGTTTCCCTTTATAAATCACAATCAACGCGAAATGCGGTGCAGCTTTTGCGGGCTTCACGTAACGCCCATATTTGCCTATAAATAGTCAAAGAAACGCCCATTCATTCATTCTGACTGACTTTATGAAGAAGATCGCAGGAAATGACGACAGAACAGCTAAAAAAGCAATAGAACTATTAACAAAGCACTTATATACTAATAAAGGACTGGCTTATCTAAAGCCAGTTGAGTAGCACTTGAAATGTTTTTGCTCTATGAAGCCTGATGTACTTATATGATTCTGTTTTCTTCAAGGTTGTATTTTGTTGGTCGAACGCACTTATTGTCAGTCGCTTTGGATAAAAGCGTCAGCTAAATGCAATGTAATGTAAAAAAGACATCTCACACCGTGTCAGATTTAGGTTATTTTGGGGAGGTCGAGATAAATCATATTGTTTGGTGGATGCAGTTTGAACCAGAGTAGCAGCATGGAGGTCGGATCGTCACCAAAATAAATAAATAAGTGGTCCGAAAAAGGTTAATGACAAAAACAATACACATAGCCTTCCTCAGGCAGTGTGTTTGTACCGGGGACAGGAGACCCCCCCTTGATGAGAATCGGGGGGATCCCTGCGGAGTGGAGTCAATTCATGTTTATTTTTTGTACTTGATGGTTTGTGTTCCAGCTGTCGATCAGCTGTGTGCATCTCAACCCCCCCCCCCCCCCCTATCACCAGTTAAATGAAATAAAACTAATGTGTTGAGTTTGATCAGCTACCAAATACGGTGTTCTTATTTTCCACACCTCCTGTGTTTTACGAGTGACTTATCAAGTCTTGGCAAACGGCATAAAACACGATTAAACATGATAGTATATAAAACCATGCTCGTATCTACAACCTATAGAAATGCAACACGGCGTCAGTTTAGACTAATTCTGTCCTCCTGCTTACCGCATCATTTATGAGAAAACATTTCATAACATTGACACAACATATTCGAGGTGGTTTTAAATAACATATCCGTATTTATTTATTTCTCCAAGTTATGTTTTTGTGTGCACTGAGGAGTCTCAAACAGGCGTTTGTTTAATCATTTTAAGATTGGCTTTAATCAATGTTTGAAAATGAATTCTTCATATATGATAAATGAGAGGTAACATTTTATTTATGGTATTATTTCCACATATTTCTCTCCATTCTTCCTTCTGCCAACGGTGTCGCAGTTTCTCGTCTCTCCCGTTTTTGTGCTTAGTGCGTACGCATGGGTCAGAGTGTGCGTGGAGGACCGCACACTCTGACCCATCTGGCCCCAGAGTATTTCTACACTGTGGTATTACTACTTGTACTTAAATAAATCACCTGAGTACTCCTTCCTCCTCTGGCTAGTGTATAATAATGGCTGTAGTGCAGTGTTGCTTTTCTGCGGTATCAGCTCCATACCGTGGTTAACGTAGTTGTTTTCTTTCAGGAGGAGCCAGTGGTCCGGAGCCAAAGCTTTGGCCAAACTGATCAAACCCCGGAAGGAGAGCAGCAGGGAGCGGGGGGGCGACCGGGACAAGGAGGCAGACAAAGACCGAGAACGAGCCAAGAGCGCCCCGGACATCCCACTGCCCTCCCCCCCTCCCCTCCTCCCTCCTGAAACCCCCCCACCACATCACCAGCGCTCAGGAAATTACACGCAGGCCAGCAGCCATGCCCACAGTAACCATAACAACCACACCGCCAGTCTGGGACCCCAGAGCCCAGCAATCACACCCATCAGCGGAGGTAAACACACTCTCACAGACACTGTAATTACATCTCTTAATACATCATAAATTACCACCAAATGTCTGATGATGGGCCTTTTTTTCCAAGGACGCTCACAATTTCTCCGTCAAAGACACAATTACAAAATGGTGGTGCAGTGAGAACATATTTTTGTAGGCCAACCAGGAAGTTAGCATAACAAGGGCTCCCTCAACAAGAAGCTGTGATTTTCCACTTGATTTTTTTATTTAGTTGAAAAATAAGACCTTTGAAGATGACGTTGGGCTATAAACAAACTATGCGCCAGTAGCATGGCTGCGCATCACCTCCGCTAAGGCGGCTAATGTTTAGCTAGATGACGTTTAGTGGTCTCATTTAGTCACTTGTTAGCAACTGTTTTTATGACTCATGAAAGATTCAGACATTCACCAGTGAGGTATTTACTGACGTATTTGATGTCATCTCTTCAACCATTAACCTTATTCAAAACACTATCTCATTTCCGGGTTCAAGCACTCATATCTGCACCACTTTATCCTAAATCAATGTCTATGGCTACATGTTTTGTTTTTTTAAACAGGATAGATGGAAAAAGGGTATAAATGAAACAATTGATCATACAATGCACATATATTCAGCACATGTTTAGCTAACACTCTGGCTGCAAAGCTGATTGAGCTTGTGATCAGGCGCACTTCCTCACTAGTTCTCTAGAGGAAGCTGTTGACCAACACATCACTTTGCTATACCCTCTTCTCTGTCTCTAACATGTACTAACCTGCACTGTATCTGTTTCCTCAGTCTCTGCAGTGACACATAGAAAAAGAACATTAACTCCCCCTGAGCCATAAGCTCACATTCTCTCAAACTGTCATATGTTTGGAATATGTGCAATGTACAATTACACTTTGTGATTGATGTCATATGTAATCAATCACTTTGGGTACAGTTAAATGACTGTGTAATGTTTGCCTTACATTTGATTAAGCCCAACAAGCACTAAAAAGGAGCCCTTTATTGCAACCTTATTGGAATGTATGTATGAGATGCATAATACACTTACCATGAATGCAGTATAGTGTTGGTCCTTCTTCATTGTCACACCGACATGAAGAGATGGATCATACTGAACAGGGCATGGTTTATATGGACTGATGAAACAATGGGAGTCACGGACAAGGCAGTCAAAGAAATGGTTGGCGGTGCCGTTATTGTCCATATCTCTCTAAACAGTCAATTCTACAACCAGTATTTCTCAACCTTTTGAATACTACTTGTGACAAGGGGTCACATGTAGACATGTCTTTACCACACACAGTTAAAGGCAGGGAACCACTCAGGAGTGTGTTCTAATGCATGCAGGTTTTCTTTTTCAATGCTTTATCTTAAGTTCTACTCATGGCTGAGCTCAATTCACATTTCAAATGGCTTTTTGATTTCATTCCACAATAATTCAGTTCAAATAACAATACATCTTCTAAACAGCTAAATACATACGTCTTGTTTGTCTGCATGACCCGCCCCATAGGCTGGAGTTATGCATGCCGTTTGTATCCGTCACTTCCTGTGCACCATTAGTCATTTGGTTAGATCAAAGTGAGTTGAGGTCAGCCTTGAGTCTCATGCATGATTTGACTGTTTTCTTATTTTCATCCAAAAGATCTTCTTGCATGATATTGATTCCATTCTGTCAATCACATACTAAATCACTTGTAATCAACTGTCTTTCATTTACTCATTATTTCATCATTTTCTTTACCTTTCTCTCTCCATTCTCTTCATCTCAGCTACACCCACCCCAAAACGTTTCCGTTTCCTCCGCAGTAAAAGTCACGAGAAACTCCTCCTCCCCCCCTCCTCCTCCTCCTCCTCCTCCCGTCCCTCCCTCTTACTCACTAGAGGATTTAGGTTCTGGTCTACCTCAGCTGACGCCATCACTAGCGAGCCAAACTCAGACAACGGAGTATTCTAACATCCTCTTCATCATCCTTTTAACCATACACATCATCATCATCAGCATCGTCTTCTTCTCTGACACCCCCACATCAGACTGTTCAACAACCCCCATCTCTGTGACTCAGTGCTCCAAATGCACATATCATACATACACACAACATACACAAGCAGGTTCATGCTACAGGTGTGAGCCACCAAGTATTACTAGTAAGTTGTGTGTGTGTGTGTGTGTGTGTGTGTGTGTGTGTGTGTGTGTGTGTGTGTGTGTGTGTGTGTGTGTGTGTGTGTGTGTGTGTGTGTGTGTGTGTGTGTGTGTGTGTGTGTGTGTGTCAGCATGCCTGCAAGGAGCTTTCATGTCTTGGCGCTGTCAGAAAGCGCTGCTCTCCCGATACCTGCGCACCTGCGTTCAGTGTGTGATTAGAAGCAATCTAACATCAGTCCAAATGAAACGTATATGATACCGTATGCATTTATGTTGAAACTGAATTATCTTCATAAAAGAAAGACGTAATACGATAACTCTTTATGTCAGATTCATTACTTTTTTATGATTGAGGACATGTTTTCCTCTCTTTATTTCATTATCATTGTTCACAGTGGATAAGTGATTTATTTAATTTGAAGACTTAGTTTGAGGTTTTTCTTACCTCATTAGATATGACAACAGACTTCACAGCTTCCCTCAAAAACCTCAATAGAAGTTTCCAATGTAGAAAAAAAGACTTTTGGTACTGCACTAATATAAATGATATGTGTTGAGTGCGGTCACCTCACTTCATGCTTTGAATGCTTTTATATTAAGAGCACATCTCAGTGTGTGTGAGTTGCTCTAAATCTGATGCTTTGCTGCAGCTTTCTCTCTTTCTCTGTTCAGTCAGCAGTCACCATAGCAACCGTACTTTTCCCCTAGCACCTCTTTTATAACCTTTTTACAACCAGCAGCTGACGGTGGCTTATATAAGCTAATGTTAGCTTACATGAAGCATAGTCAAGGACATGATGTTGTCTGTTGGGCTGAATGTTAAAACAATTTCCATTCATGTCCACACCTTTACTTCCGAAACACAATCATAATGTCTAAATAGAATGAGAACTGATATCCCAGTGACTTATAAGCTTCAATGAACAAATCATTTCCAATGTGTTGCTTGGCTTTCCTGCTGCTTGCTGTAACACACAACATCATGTCTCACCGTGCTACTATGGCACGCAGGTTCTAACATTGTGATCGGTCTGCAGGTTTGACGGACAGGGGCCGGGGGGGTTATCGTAGCAGCACCCCAGGAGGCAGCAGTGAGAGTGTCAACGGAGAGAACGGACATGGACAAGGTAAGGAATTGTAAATCCAGCAGGAGAGTGAGCTACTTGATTAAGATGGAAGTTAATTCCAGCTTTCAGAGGCTTGAGCAGGCCTGTTTTCAAGCGTAGGTAAAAACACTGGGATATTATAACTAAAGGGATCCAATAGTAACAACCATGTCATGCTAGCCTGTTGCCAAAGAAGGTTACTGAGCCAAAGTTAGGCATGCAGGGTTATATACCACCTGCTTGGAAAGAATGTAAACAACTGGAATCACATGGATGCAATGACTTTTCATTTAGTCCAAACACATGTCATCCTGTAACTCAATCACATCTTTCGCAATATTTAGTGTTGGCAGTGGCTGATTGCTCTTATGCAATTTCTTTCTTGGGCTCCGATAATATCCAGGCAAAGACTTCCTCTTCTCTGTGCTGGTCACTGTAACAGTCCGATTAGCAATTTGAGAAGCAAGCATTTAGTTGCTGTTGAGAGACTCATTACATATCATTTAGCCACAGAATTTGTTATGTGCAGATATCTGCATTAAAAAGTCAATGTAACGTCATGCTATAGCCAATGAGTTCCAGGGTTGCATTTTGACCAATGTGTTACGGCTGTTTTGCTCATTAAACGGGCTAATGACATGCTAAAGCCTGCTTAAATGGGTTTTCTTGTCACGAAAACATGAATGCTTCCCATACTAAATATACATATTCTGCATTCATATCATATAAGCGCCAGGAAAAGCGCTATACAAATAGCATGTATTATTATATATAGATATCTGTTTATAGTGATTAGTTTGATCTTTCTTGAATTCAAACCTTAAAGTGTACTTGTCAAAGGTTTCCCTAATGTCCCTTGTCCTCCAATGCTTCCTGTTCAAAGTCTTTCTATTTTAGATGAATGCTTTGACATATTTTGTAAAGGAATATATTTGGATAGCAAGTCTTTATATCAAATGCTGAATTGAATGATGATCATATTAACATTCTGTTTGTTTGTGTTTCCCCCCAGCTCCGGCCCACAAAGCTCTGAGCTCCACTCCCAGCCATCAGTCTCCCTCACTGGGCCTCCCTAACAACTCCAACCCCCGACTGGGAGGCCCGGCCCGCCGGCCCAGAGGTCAGCCCGCTGGTTCAGAAGTAACCTTATTTAGAAGCCATTTTTTAAAGTTTCTTTTTTTAAAGTGTGTACATTTTTTCAGGTCTGTTATTTGATGAAGACTCTCGCCACAACACTTCCGACTCCATATTTAGTCCGCATGGCAACACGGGAGGTCTCCCGGGGTCACACAACACCTCAAGCTCCAACTCACCCGTCAACTGCAGAGGTACACACTGTGTATTTGTACACTTAAATCTAAAGTCATATTCAGCCCAATGTGTACAAATAAATGTACATTACTGAAAATACATTATTTTATCAAACTCTAATAAAAATGTGTAAAAAATCTCTATATATAACTAAAAGATGAATAATTGTATTACATTTAATAAAACATTATAAATGTAGATAAACATTACTGAAAATGGAAAAAAGTATTACATTCTAAATACAAATGTTGAAATACTGTATATTTAAACAGTATTTAAGGCTACCCTGTAGGACAATTAATATTATTAAATTATAACAAATATTGGTTAAAATAAATATACATTACTGTAAAAATATAATATCATCAAAATATAATTTAAAACATTTTAAAACAAATATACATTACTGAAATTAGATCATATTGAAATATAATGAAAATTAAAAAATAAATATTCATTACTGAAAAGAGATATTTAAAAAATATCATTATTAAATATATACAAATGTGTTAAAAATAATTATACTTTACTTAAAATATATATTTTTAAATGATAATAAAATAAATGTACATTACTTAAAGTAGATCATAATGAAATGTACATACGGTTAACAGACAGTGAATCCTGTATTCATCTGTAGTTTTAGGTTCAGTCAGTAATAATAAATGTTTTTCTTATTAGACCCATCAGATCGCCAGACTCGCTCAGCCAGCCTCTCCAGTGATGATGTCACGGGTCTCAGCCAATCACAACTGGCTCTGTCACGTAGCTCCACCCTTCCATATGACCACGTGCCCCAGAGGGCTCAACCACAACGTGGGGTTGGGGTTCGGAGTAAGACTTGTACGTCTTCTCCTGTTAAGGACATGTTGACCCTGGAAGAGTTTCTACATGAGAGCAACCTGAAGTCACCTCCTATGGTAAGAAATGTATGCAGTATGGTCAAAACAAATCATCGCTGAAGACAGTGAGATACCTGCAAAAAAAGCATCATTATAATGCAGACGCAGTTAAAAGACATGGGAAGTAATTCCCCTCTACTGTTGTGCTTCTATCACAGCTGTTCTACAGTGGGGTATCTTAGTCTATGACTAATAGGGTCAACTATGAAGCGATGACATTTCATTTTCAAGGGTAGATTGTGACCATCTGCCGGGTCGGCTACAGAATGGCTGACTGTAATGGCATAATGGTATTGCTTATATAGTTTATACCTTGGTATTAAATGTATATAAATATATAAAACACTAATTTACGTTTCTTGTGAGTGGTGGCACAGATTAGACTATGACAGGTTCTACATGTTCCATATTCCTAACTTGAGTTTTCTTTTCATCAAATTACAACAAACATATAATATGCATGACACCAGTTACTTGTTTCCTGGGTAGTACTCCCTGGTTATCTCAACACATCCTCACTCCCAGGTCGGCCTATGTTGACGTTATGTCAAGTCCCCTGTCGGCTTTTTCCAACGCAAGGGGGGGGGCCTTAGCGTCCATTTTCAACGCAAGGGGGGGGCCCTTAGCGTCCATTTTCAGCTTTCCGGGATGTCCATATGCTTCTATGGACGCTCATGGAAGCACGGCATTCGTTTGTGTCGACTGCCCTTAAAGGCAATGTGAGCGTCCATTCTCATTGGATAACGGAGAATTGTACACCCGGAAGTAAGTATTCCCCTTACTGTCGATTGATTTTACAGTGTTATCTGCACTACTCGCACTACTCATCGACTAAAAAACACCAGATTATCCTTGTTAATTACACAACATTGATTGGTTTAAATTGTGTGCAATGCTTTTGTATTTTTCCCCTTCGATTCGGAGAAACAAATATTTTTTCGGAGTAAAGGATGGCAGAAGACACTACCCAGAATCCCCAGCTATCGTTTGGACTACACCATGTGCTCTGTTTGACAAACCCCGTGATAGTCCTCAAGCTCTGTGATTGGAGTGTGCTCCGAGGGTTACGCCGAGCCTCGAACAGCAGAATGTCCAAAACTGGATTTGAACGGGACCACCGCGTCCCCCCCCCTCCCCCCACCCCGCCCCCCCCCCTCCCCCACCCCGTCCCCCCCCTCCCCCACCCCGTCCCCAGAACTACACATGCTGGCTATTCTGTTTCGCAACATGTTCTCTATCTATGGCACGTCTCTACTGGGAGTTGTAGTTTTAAAAGACGTTTTCGTATTTCCCATAATAAGAAGTTGCCAGTATTAAACTGTGTATATCCCTGGAGGTTTAGGGGATAGGAAACACTCACATTTAAAACATATAATTAATAAATGGGTGAAAATTGCTTGTGCCCATAATGGGCAGCATTAATATATATACACACATGCCAGCTAAGGTCAGAAGAGCTTTATTTAACAGCTGGTCTTATGTTTGTGATCCCTGTTGTTAATTGATAACATTACATTACATTAATTGATAAGCCTGAAACATGCACTTGTCAAGGTTCAGAGGCACATTTTGCAAATATGGCAGTAGCCATCGATCAGCTTAAGATAATATAATTTATTGATCCCAAGTTGGAACATTTGCGTTACATCAGCATGTGTAACAGTTGTATGCAGTGGTGTTTATTTGTAAATCATTTAGTATAATCACACAAATTCTGTGTTTTATATTCAACAATTCTGTGTTCTTTATTGATTGATTGTTCAATACCTGACAAGGCCGGAGATGAAATATCTACATACATCTTATAAGAGTATAATACATTATGTATAATACCAGTTAAAATAAGTGCTTCAACATAGTTAACATTGCTGGAGGTATGCACAAATATTGATAGATGTCTTGTTATGCACTATTGAGGAACCTGCGACCCAAGTTTTTCATTCAATGCATAACTACACCATAGTTGTGTAGGCCTATATGATATGTCAATAAACCTTAGAAAATCTTGAAATCTTGAAAGGGATGTGCAAAATAGTCATTATATACAGTCTTTAATTAACTATTAGTAGAGAATAACGAGTAATGAATATACTTTATAGGGATCCTATTAATATCTAATAATACAAATAATGAAATTCAATAACATGCTTTAACCACTAGGTATCCCTTTATATCAGCTGTGCACCTTTATGGTGTAAATACAGCCTATCTACCAATTGGATCAAATATAAAAGTCAGCCGAATTAGTGTTGATACTGCAAGGAGACGTATTGTGTGAAAAGAAATGTAAGATGTTGTTTAATGGCTGATATATTTATGATCCACGTCACGTTTTCAGTTCCTCATGTTTGTCTAGAAGTCTTCTCATCAGGGCTCTATAAATAGAGAACTACGGCAGATATGTAATATTTAATGCAGCCGAACCGTGTATTACAATGCCGTTATGTGATGACTTCCAAAGAGAAAAGCAAGCACACTCGGAATAAAGTATTATTGTATTTTTTTAAATGTTTTCGGTCTGTTTCCGGTATTTGTTAATGACGATGTGCTGTGAGATGTGAGACTGGAATTGCACAGGGGGAAATAACGTAGGCTATCTTTAGATGCCGATTTTGTTAAACTAATATGTTTGTGCTGTGGACCAACACTATACATTGACGGGGAAGGGGGTAGCAATAAAGATAACACCATTAAACAGTTACACAACATAACAGAAATAATATCGATAGCAGCGTCCCTAGCAACCACCTTGGTAACAATGAAAACGTTATGGACGCAATTTCCTGAAGTAATCTTCGTAATAACTAGCAAACTAAAGATCCTGTACATCCACTGCACACATAATCTGAAATAACAACTCATATTTCTCGCATCAAATGACATCAAAACGCATTTTAATGGCCAAACTAACTTTAAAATAGGCATTTTACACCGAGAATAAAACGAAGTTCGGCCATGTTTTTTTTTTCTGCAGGGAGAAATTTGAAGATCACGTGACGTAAAACAGAGCACATGGTGTAGTCCAAACGATAGCTGGGGATTCTGGGTAGTGTAGTGTCTTCTGCCATCCTTTACTCCGAAAAAATATGTTTCTCCGAATCGAAGGGGAAAAATACAAAAGCATTGCACACAATTTAAACCAATCAATGTTGTGTAATTAACAAGGATAATCTGGTGTTTTTTAGTCGATGAGTAGTGCAGATATCACTGTAAAATCAATCGACAGTAAGGGGAATACTCAGTGGCGTTTTTATATGTACAAAAGTGGTGGGGCACAAAAAACTTAGATGTCTATATAAGCTTCTGCAGTGAGGTTCATGGCTGGCGAGGCTCTGACTCTTCAGGTTTACAAATATTATATTTTGAACTAAATCAAAATATAATATTATTTTCAAAAGCTTTTTTTGTCTGATGCTTCAATTAATTTTAAACAGACAGTTCAACAAAAGGATACCCAAAAAATGTAATTGTATCATTTAAATATTGAATTGTTCTCTCTTAGTAAGATCCCATTTTCAATCAAATTGCAGTCTTACCTTGACATGAAGATGAAGTCCATTTGCCTATCCTTCTGGACAAAAATCTCTATTACTTTTTTGTAAAAGTCCTCCTTATGTTCTTGTAGTTTCAAAAGGCTATCATAAATCTGATCTAATCAATAGATTTATGATTCGAAAATTATAAAAGTAGGGTAGACATGTGGATATTATCCGGCTGAACAAAACGTGCATTTATCTAACAGGTTTGTTTCCCACAGATCGTATTTGGAGCTATTTTCTAAAATCCTATGGAGAAATATCATTGCTTTTTTGTGGAGGGAAGCCATGCGCAGTTTATTTCCAGGTTTTAGGACGCCTTACTGCAGCTCTCTCGTCTCCTCTTCACACACCACACTTTTCGCGGCACACGTACTTACAGCCAATCAGCTCTGAATGATGTGAGATGACGTATGGTGGGGATGGCAGCTCTATGCCCCTATGGTCATTATTTTTTTGCCACACACATTAAATAGGACAATACTCTGAGCATGCGCAGTGTAGTTTTTACAGTCACCATTGACTTAAACAGGGAGAGGGAGGGGCAGGATCGGGTTTTGTCCCACATGGCTCAAAACAGCTCAATAGGCACACACTGTAGACATTAATTAGAAGAACACAGACTAAAACAGCAATGTACAGACGAATCAGATGAATAAACATGATCTTAAAATATATTTTATATATTTTTTAATTTATCTTTTGCATTTTTTTGTAATCATTACTTTTAATACTTTCTGCTGACACTAGGTGGGGCTGTACCCCACCTGCCCCTAATGACCAGTCGCCACTGGGAATACTTACTTCCGGGTGTACAATTCTCCGTTATCCAATGAGAATGGACGCTCACATTGCCTTTAAGGGCAGCCGACACAAACGAATGCCGTGCTTCCATGAGCGTCCATAGAAGCATATGGACATCCCGGAAAGCTGAAAATGGACGCTAACGGAGCGTCCACACAGCAGCGTGCGTTGACGCTTGGAGGTGGGCGTATCTGAAGCTTGGGGATTTTTTGCGAGCAACACGACCAACAACCAATCACATGAATCTCCCGCCCCCGACATACAAAGCAATAGCAATGTTAAAACGAAGTAAACTGGATATAAAATCCCCAAACAGGCGAAAACCTACCAGTTTCACCCACTGTCTCTGCCACCTCCCTCCATGCCTCGCTCCTCCGGTTTGTATCCCGGTAGATCAACAGAGACTGATCATACAGCACCGGGTGATTCACTAACGCTACAATGAACTTTCCCTCAATTTTTTGGAATATGAGGAAATGACCTGCGTAGTCTCTCCCAGCATACACGCGGTTTGATTGGCTAGCGCTTGTACTGGCAGATTTGAATAAACGGGATTTCATTGGCTGACGCCTCCGTCGAGGCGTCAAAAGTTGAACATTGCTCAACTTTTGACGCCAGCTACGCCAGCAACGCTCCACGTCGCTTCCCAAAATGCAGTTCGGCTAAAAGTGACGTCACCCCATTCAAAGTGAATGGGCAGAAGCGTTGGAAGCTTCAACGCACGCCGCTGTGTGGACGGGCCGTAAGGGCCCCCCCCTTGCGTTGAAAATGGACGCTAAGGCCCCCCCCCTTGCGTTGGAAAAAGCCGACAGGGGACTTGACATAACGTCAACATAGGCCGACCTGGGAGTGAGGATGTGTTGGTTATCTAAGTACTGTTCTCTGGGAACATGGAGGTGACAGGGTATGCATACTAAACAAAGGACAGGAGGTGGGTTACTGGTTCAACTTTAGCCAAACTGCGCATGTGTTGACCCAAGAACCCCTCACAACTTGATTCAAGTCATGGTCATTGTTTTAGATACTAATTACCAGAGGCACATGTCAGTGGAACACGAGTAGCACAACGAGTAGTATTCACACAGCAGTGGCATTCCAACAGTCAGAGTATGTCAGTTGGCGTTATCAGTCAGTATATGCTGGAGTTGAATGGAATTGATGTGTTTCATGGAGCAGTGGCATGCCACCACTTGGACATTTTTGTTAGCTAACCCCTTTGATAAAAAATACAATTCTACCTTTTTATTTTTTCTTACTCTGTTTTTTCCTTTGTCTAGGTGTCAACAGGAAGCAAGGAGGACTTAATGACTGACTACTTCACCAGAAGTCCCGCCCCCTCGGGTCCCCCTGGCAAAGATCAGACTCCTACCAGCTATGTCACGCCCACTGTACAGGCATCCAACCAGAGGCCGGGACAGAGCGTCAAGCCGTTGCCCCGCCAGCCTGTGGGCCAATCACCAGCCTCGGGCCAGACCGTCATCCAGAGGTCCGGCCAATCACTGAGCAGGGCGTTCAGCCTGGCCTCGGCTGATTTGCTGCGCTCAAACGGACCAGACAGTTTCCATGGAAATGATGGCCAATCAGATGGGGTTGTCCGCAGACCAGGGGCAGGGGCTAACGGGAGGGAACGCCCTCTCTCTGCTCGGCTGGCTGGCCCAACCAATCAGCCTGCAGACAGCAGCTTCCTGAATCTGCCCATTCACCATTCCACCTCTCTCAATCTGCAGACAGAGAGACACGCAGAGAGAGAAAGAGAGAGGGGGAGGACTCCTGTCTCTCGGAACGGCCCCTCCCCGTCCTCCACCTACCACAAGGTGGCTGAGGTTGCCATGGTCACCCCTGTCAGGGCTGTGTCGGCCACGCGGCCTGAAGAACCCTCAGTAAAAGGGGAGGAGCTAATGTCAGGTGACTCCTCCCATGTAGAGAAGGAGAGTGAGAAGGCAGGGTGTGGATCTGTGGAACGGCCCAAAAGCACGCCCTCGTCCCCCGATCCCAACAACGACCCTCAGACTGTGTGGTATGAGTATGGCTGTGTCTGAACGCCGACCCAAAGAACCAGTGTGGCTCAAATCTGGAACTGGATACAGACTGCTGGAGGCTGATCATTGGAGCTTTACAAACCCTCAGACAAGTTATCAGTCTCTGAAATGTAGATAAATGCTTCAACTCTTGGAAGTCTACTCTTTGCTCCGATTCAACTGGAAATAAGTCCAAGAGCTGTCACACATGCATTGATCATGCGACATTCCTGCTGAAAGTTCGACAAAGTTGAACTCCATCGGATAAGAAGATGCAACTTTTAAAACCTGGAAAACAAAGCCACATTTTGAAGGAAACCATGTATTTATTGAATCAAAAGCTGAATCGGTCTGAGGTGGATGCAATATGGAAGGATTTGATGTGAACACACCAACACTATAGATGGTCTCTGAGGATGCTGGAGTACATTGTACACTGTACTCACAAGCAGCCTCCAGTCCACACCATGGGGTTTCCAAAGGTGTTGCATTCACTGGCTGTTTTTTAATATTGAATGTTTTGACCAGATAATAAAAAAAAATGTAAAGACTTGAACACATATAGAAATGGAGATTGGAGCTGAGAATCCCTAACACTTAAAGCCTGCAGGTACAGAGGACAAGAATACCAAGTGTGGGCTCAGTCTATGAGCTGGAACTCTTTGACTGTTGGCCTGCTGGGGTTTCCCTGGAATCAACCCGGAACAAACCATCATTCAAAACAGTGGTTGGACTGAAGTGAAGGCAAACGGAAGCACCTGAATGTATCGGATTTCTCCTCCTTTTTCTGTTGGCCTCTATTATCTAAAACACACACTGGAATACAGGAGCCGGAGGGGGGAAGGAAGGGGGGGTGAAGCAAAGAGAGTAGAAGCAAGTGATGGAGGAAGGGGTTGAGGGGAGCTTTATTGCGAACACTGATGGATGCTGGGATGGACAGATATAAAAGTGGAAGCAGTGACTTGAGGAAGGAAAGACAAAAATGACGGGCAGGGCTGCTCCCAGTTAAATTACAGTCTTTCTCCCTCCATCTTTAGACTCTGTCCCAGCATGCAACACACTAACACTTTACTGGAAATGTTGTTCTTCCCGAGCCAACACTAGTTTCACAAACACACACACCAATACACACACACACACACACACACACGTGTATATAAATATATATAATGATATATACAGACGGAGGAATTGTCCTTGAGGGGCTTGGTTGTGGCCTTGCTAACCATTGAGCTGGACTTAATTCACACACACACGCAGCACAGGGTGAACCACTGTGTTTTTGGGAGAGTGTACCGCTGCATGCTAAGTGAGCCGGACAGTTGTAAGTACGACACAACAGAGAGGGAGAGACCCAGAGAGGAGAGTTTGCATTGAATGAATTAGCTCTGCACCAAGTGTTTGCTCGATTCTCCAGTCAGTGAACCGATGATTTTGTCCTCAGCTCAAGTGTCACTCTGGAACTTTGGTGCGCCATGCATATATCACTTCATACGAGCACATGTTCTATTGAGTGGTGCAAGGATAAACATTTTTTAAAGGCATGGCAAAGGGATCCTTACGGTGGCCGACAAGTGCAAATGCGCAATAGCATAACAAACGTCCATCAGGGGAAATGCGCTGGCATTTCTAACAAAGGATGCAAATGTAAAAACACAAATGTGCCAAAGCACGTGCAAATAAAGAAACATCTTCACCAACTTCAACTACAACATGGCAGGCGGCTGCACATGGTAACCGCTAAGCTAAAGGCGGCTAATGTTCGGCCTGATGCCATTTAGTAGTCTCATGTAGCTACTATCGTTTCTTATGACATGCTAACGCTTCAGACGTTCAACAGTGGGGTATTTACTGACATCCATTTTAGGCATCTAACCAAAAACACTCAACAAAGGCTCATTTCTAAGTTAAGGATTTGTGATTCCTGCACTGCTCTATTATGTCCTCTGAAGCTTCTTGACTCTATTCACAACAGCGTCTGACATACTCACTTTGTAATCAACACAGAGATTATTAAACGCGTCTTGTCCCTTTATTAAAAGCAGCAAGATTTACAAGATGTTCATCTTTCACACACATTTCACTGAACTATGTTTCAATCACACACAATGCTGTCAGACTGGGAATGATGCACAATGAGTCCGATTCAAATGGAGACACATTTAGCTTTGAGTGTTTTCCTCACCACTCTCGGGAGGATTTATAAATACTTGCTTTTTGAGCCCATTAAACAAAGAAAAGATGAGGAAGACATTCAGGAGACAGTCGGTGTTAAAGGAACGAGTGATTGATATGCTAATTCTACTGATTTGACCCTGTACTGCTGTCTGTAATCACTAACCCATCCCTCCTGCATTGTTCATGACGGAGGCAAAGACGTTCCTACAAAGCACTAAAACGATGATGATGATGATGAGGAAGATACAACACTGGAGTATGAAGCTTTGACTGGAACCACTAAGCGTTCCTCTCACCTTCCCACATGTCAATATGCAACAAAGTAAATTATTAAACCTGTAACATTTGTACATGACGTTAGATTTTATAAACAGGGGAAAGGTTTAGAAGACTTCTGGACTAACACTTCGCCTTAAAGAAACAAATGTTTGTTGATACCAAAAATCCAGATCAATACCTGTAAAGTGAAGTGTTTGTTGTTGTTATTGTATTCGTTAGATCATTTTAGCAGATGGTATGACACTGTAGGTTGATGCTGTCTATGTACCTGCTTCGTGTGTTTGTGTGTGTCAGCACTCATTTCATTATTAGTTCCTTACGTGTGTCTGTGTTTCAATTGGCTGATGTCAAAAGAAAACAACATTGACATTTCGTTATTAGAAATAGAACATTCCAAGAACAATTGTTTTTTAATTGAAACTACGCCATCACACACACACACACACACACACGTGTCTCAGTTTTCTGGAACTGTGTGTGTGTGTGTGTCCTGACTGTTTGTCTGTGTGCCTGCTTTGTTTACTACCTGTGTGTCCACTTTAGTTACTGTCCCATGATTCCCTTCTCATTCTGTGGTTGTTATTGATACACTTTGAGAGGAGCAGCATCACCGGCTGCTTCCTGCTCACTGACTGACTTCAGATGTGGTGTGCTCTCACAGTCACCGCAGATCAATACTGAGAACCAAATAGTCATGAAGACGTTAGAGAGAAGTAAAGCAGCGCTGACGTAACGGATATTTCCTGCTGTAACTGGAATAACCTCTCCTTCACTTTATGACTGCTCTGCTGTGATGATGGGACTACTGTTGAAAGCTACTATTGTCATTGACTGCTGTGATTACACCCAAAAGCTTTGTGGTAATAAAGATGTATGAAAATGAACTGAGGCTCCTATACCTGAGTGCATTTGAAATTCACAGGTGGCAACTTTATGAACAAAACTCTGTTAGCGGAAACTGAAAGCAACATTCATAATCATCTGAAACTAAGAATTGTGTTTCTCAATAGCTACGAGGGTCTTCATGATCCTCTTCATTTGAGTTATCTTTGTGCCGCCATGTTTCTACAGTAGCTCATAACGGACGAACATAAGGACTGCAGACCAATAGCCCTCACCTCAGTGATTATGAAATCACTAGAAAGAATTCTGCTCCGATTTCTTATCAGTACAAGTAGTACCATCACATCATGACCTACTACAAAAACCTAGGGGTACGCAAAGATGATTTCAGTCTAGCAAGGGTAACAACAGCATAGGTACTCATTAAACTGAGCGCCCTCCAACCTAACAAGGCCACTGGCCACGACAATATCCCCTCCAAATTCCTCAGAGACACAGCAACCGCCATCTCACCAGTCATAGCTCACATAATTAATCTCTCCATAAAACAGGGAAAGGTACCCAAAGACTTCAAAATTGCAAGAGTAACCCCCCTGCACAAAAAGGGCAGCAAATTGGACCCAGGCAACTACCGCCCTGTTTCTATACTTACCTCCATCTCGAAAGTCATGGAAAAAATAGTATATGAACAGGTCGAAAAGTACCTCGCGGAAAAGAAACTAATCTATGAATTTCAATCTGGCTTTAGAACATCCCACTCCACTGACACATGCCTTCTTTATTTGAGCGACCACATCAAACAAGAGGTGGACGAGGGCAAGTACTGCGGCATGGTGATGCTGGACCTACAAAAGGCTTTCGACACTGTCAATCACCCCATTCTGATTGACAAGCTAAAAGCAATTGGTTTTGATAAACTATCGGTGAGCTGGATGCAATACTACCTGGAGGGGAGAGAACAGATGGTGGAGGTAAACGGTACTATGTCCCCCCCCCTCCCAGTGAGCTGTGGTGTTCCACAAGGAAGCATATTAGGTCCGTTACTGTTCCGAATTTATGTAAATGACATGTCATCAGCATGTGACTGCAACTTGTTCCTGTTCGCGGACGACTCAGCCCTGCTGGTCTCTGACAGGAACAGGTTGCAGGTTGAAAAAACCCTCAGCTCCGAGCTCGGCAGAATCTGCACCTGGCTCGCCGATAATAAATTATCATTACACCTGGGTAAAACAGAGTCCATTCTCTTCGGTTCGAAACATAATCTCAGCAAATCCGACGACTTCTCAGTTGCAGTGGGCGACATTATTGTCACAAGTAAAGGCCCTGACACACCAAGCCGATATCGGCTGTTCTCGTAAGTCGGGAGACGAAGCGTGTCCTGTCGCCCAAACTCAATTTGGTGTGTCCCGAACCGTCGACCGTGACACGCCTTATTTAATAATAATAATAGCTTCGATTTATATAGCGCCTTTCAGGGGACCCAAGGTCGCTTCACAAGTAATAGTGCAAAGACAAACATAACAAAACAAAAGACAGACAAACAGAACAACAGATCAATTTAGGGGCCGAAAGCCTTGGCAAACAGATGGGACTTGAGGGCCCTTTTGAAGGCTTCAAGTGTGGGGATGTTGCGTATCTCCGCAGGGAGAGCGTTCCAGAGGGTGGGGGCTGCCACACTGAAGGCTCTGTCCCCGTAGGTTCGCAGTTTGGTGCGGGGGGTGGTAAGCAGGCCAGAGTCTGAGGACCGCAGGTTCCGGGGTGGGGCATGTGGGTGAAGGATGTCCGATAGGTACTGGGGGGCAAGGGCATGGAGGGATTTGTAGGTAAGGAGGAGGATTTTGTAGGATATGCGGGACTTGACCGGCAACCAGTGTAGGTGGATGAGGGTGGGAGTGATGTGCTGCCACGGTTTTGTGTGCGTGAGTACCCTAGCAGCACAGTTTTGGACATACTGGAGCCTGTCCAGGGTTTTGTTGGGAACCCCGAACAGGACACCATTGCAGTAGTCCAAGCGGGGTGGTGACAAATGCATGGACTAGGGTTTCGGCAACCGACTCCGAGAGTGACGGTCGGAGTCTGGCAATGTTCCTCAGGTGGTAAAAGGCCGATTTGGTCACAGATTTGATGTGGGAATGGAAGGAAAGGGTGGAGTCGAGGATGACACCCAGGTTGCGGGCTTCAGGAGATGGGGAGATGGAGCAGCCGTCGACCTCAAGGACGAAGTCACCAACCTTCTGGAGCAGGGCCTTGGGTGCCTGACCCGATCCATGGCCGATTCGACATGGATCGGGTCTGGCAGTCGGACCAAACAATCACTCTGATTGGCTGTTCAGCTAGCGAATCAGTGCATGAGAAGCGATACGGAAGTGAGGGACGTAAACAAACGATTTAAGAAGAAGGCACACACAGACTGCTATTCATATTTAAATATAGCAACATCTTTAGCTTGCATACCTGTTGCCAAAAATCGCAGCGTAACCATCAGACGTGTCCCCACGAGATGCAATCCGGGTAGTTGGTGTTTTCCCTCTGGGTGATTGGAGTGATGAGTTCCTCCAACATGTGGAACTGCACAGGAAAAAGCTGAGCGAAATTTCTGAAATCTGGCACTTCATTGAATTCCAGCTCTCGACACAGGTTCGGGAAAGCACCGTGAGCTTCTCGCTGTAGTATCCATGACTTCACCCATTTAGTGCGGTTTCTCCTAATTCTTCGCTTCCGCTTCTTGAGAGACTGTTGCTTGAGAATGTCTTCCACAAGTAACACTGCAATGGCTGATAGCTCCAGTGCCGCACGAAACATGTTTTAGATGGACGAGAGGGAAAATGGAACTCACAAGCTATTTGTTGTTGTTTATATCACGGTCTGTTCTTCTTCTCTGTCTTCCGGTTGTTGCCTCTTTTGAATGACGAATACACACTACCGCCGCCTGCTGGTAAGGTGAGTTATTGCCACTCACGCACTGAAGTCTTTGCGGTGTGTTCCCGTGCGACACATGGCCAAGACGCAGGAGAACACGGCCAGGCAACAGCCGACGTCAGCGTCGGCGAGTCCTCTGGTGACTGCTTGGTGTGTCAGGGCCTTAAGAAGGAAATTACATACCTAGGATCTATTCTTGAGGCAAACCTCTCCTGTGACAAAATGACATCCAATGTAATAAAAAAAGTCAATCAAAGAACTAGATTCCTATACCGGATCTCCTCTCTGGTAAACAAAAACACCCTGAAAACTCTGGCAGGAGCACTCATTCAAGGGTACTATGACTATGCTTGCACGTCATGGTACCATAGCACCTCCAAGGCGCTAAAAATAAAACTTCAAACATCGCAAAATAAACTGGTCAGACTACTGCTTGACCTTTCATCTAGAACCCACCTCACCTCTGCCCACTTTGACAACCTAGGATGGCTTAGAGTAGACGACAGAGTACAGCTACTTGCAATGGGCCTGGTCTACAAGATCCACTACACCTGTATGGTACCCATGTACATGTCAAAATTCTTCCCAAAGGTCAAGGAATACCATGATCATAACACCAGAGGGAGCTCCACAAATCATGTGAAACCCAGATTTGGCACAAAAAAGGGGGAATACACGTTTCGCAATTATGCCACATCAAGGTGGAACGCTCTTCCCACAACTGTAAAGGAAAGTAAAACTATACTTACCTTCAAAACCTCTCTTACAGAGCACCTTCGGTGGAGAGCATTGCAAAACTGGCCCCGGTAATGGTACAAATCTCAACCTGTCGTTCAATGGACAGCTTCCCCCCCCCCCCCCCCCCCCCCCCCCATCTATGTATATACTCGCATTTTAGACTCTGTTACTAACTGTATATCTGTAGACTTGGTATGTCTTAAATGTCCGGTTAGGATGTATTAGAACGAAATCTAAAATGAAAATTGTAAATAAGCAATCTGTATGTAAAAAACCACCTGTATGTAAATTGTAAATAAGCCATCTGTATGTCAAATATGTCTTATATGTCTTAAATGATATGATGAATTGGAAATGGGGGACCCTGATGTAAACAAGAAGAAAGTCTTTCTCTGGTCTGCATCCCCTTAACAATTGTATGTTTTGAGCTGTACTGTACTGTACCCAATATACAAGCTGTTAATAAACTTTTCAATCAATCAATCAATGGAAAGCGCCATTCATGCCAAAACACATAGCCTATTTATAAACTTCAATATTTAACAGAACATATGTCAAAAGGAAATGGCACAACGTGCCGTTAAATAATTAATCTGAGGCAGGGATATTAAGAGCCCCTCATCCCCCTTGCAAATCTAACCCTGACAAGTGTTTTTTATGAACATTATTGTTAATTAAACAAATGTACAGATTAATGTATTGCTAAAACAAACTGTTTGGGTCCATCCATCCATCTTCTCCCGCTTATCCGTGGTCGGGTCGCGGGGGTAGCAGTTCCAGCAGAGAGCCCCAAACTTTCTTTTCCCTGGCGACATCAACCAGCTCTGACTGGGGGATCCCAAGGCGCTCCCAGGCCAGCGAAGAGATATAATCCCTCCACCTGGTCCTAGGTCTACCCCTTGGTCTCTTCCCAGCTGGACGTGCCTGGAACACCTCCCTAGGGAGGCGCCCAGGTGGCATCCTAACTAGGTGCCCGAACCACCTCAACTGGCTCCTTTCGACGCGAAGGAGGAGCGGCTCAACTCCGAGTCCCTCCCTGATGACCGAACTTCTCACCTTATCCCTAAGGGAGACACCAGCCACCCTGCGGAGAAAACCCATCTCGGCCGCTTGTATCCGCGATCTCGTTCTTTCGGTCATGACCCTTCATGACCATAGGTGAGGGTAGGAACGAAAATGGCCCGGTAGACAGAGAGCTTTGCCTTCTGGCTCAGCTCTCTTTTCGTCACAACGGTGCGGTAAAGCTCCTGCTGCTCCGATTCTCCGGGCCATCTCACGCTCCATTGTTCCCTCACTCGAGACAAGACCCCGAGATACTTGAACTCCTTCACTTGGGGTAAGGACTCATTCCCTACTTGGAGTGGACAGTCCATTGGTTTCCTGC